AGAAGGGTGAGGTACTAACAGGCAAAGTTGAGTCGCATAGAAGTAGAAGCGTAGCAGTCAATATGCACAACCCAGAGCGTTCGGTGCCTGAAGGCGATCTCGTCTTCCCGGTAGGTATGTTGTGTGGTCATGCCCTCTTCAGGGGGGGTAACCCGCATGACTTGAAATCCCCTAATAATACTGAGGATGACGTTCTCTGTCATATAGATGGGGGTAGTAATGACCCTTCAACACCTGATCTTAGGAGATGTCCCATAAACACCCTCTTAGATCACATCCTCATTGTTGAGGATACGCCTGGATGTGCCACCTGCAACACCCATGCACGGCATCCTGCCGACCAACGCTGCGCCCACTTCGCAAATATCAATACAGTTGAAGAAAAGAAACGACATAAAAAGGGAAAGAAAGCGCCAAATAACGCAAGCACACAAAGAGTCAAAAGTGACGAGGATGCTGAGCCCTATGCTCGCATCAGGGTAGGTGAAGAACTCTATAACCTAATTCCATCACATTTGTCCTTTGATAGCGATGAACATCATAGGATGATGCATGAAGGTGGTCCCAAGTTGGAGCTTCCCAATCCTGATGTCCCGTCACCCTCAAGTGCTAGCGTCCCAAATGCACTAGTTCAGTCCCAAGTTGTTTCATCAGCCTCAATCCCTTGTCAGGAGTCGCTTCCAGGGTCTAACCAACCAACTGGTCGCACTAACCGTAGACATCGGAAAGTTGCCAAGAACGCCTGCAACGCGAATGCTAAGCCAATCACACACAAGCTTGCCTGTTCCCTGACATCCAGAGGTTGTCGGTAACTGAACATAATGGCATTCCAAGTGATAGACTTAGTAGGGATAATATAGAGTTAGGAAATGAGTCGCAGTACGGACTGTTGGGCAATCACATAGCTGAACCCACTGAAACCGCGCCACCACTTGTGTGGACCCATCCTCCTGCTCACATACATTCCCTTGGCAGCGCCAAAACATAATGAAGGTCCTAGGTCGAGGGCAGCCGCCCCACTTAGGGAAACCTTCCCGGCACACAATTGCCGTTAATGACACAGCCATAGACCTTAAACCCAATGCATAGGTCGCAGTGAGCTTCCGCTCTCGCGACAGTAGATGCGTAGGTGCCTGCCAATGCGCAGTGCGTGTGGAACAGGCGAGGGGGGAGTTGAAATATATCGACCCCTGAGCCCCACCATGTATAGCATGTGCAGGTAGGTCTAGTGTAGGCAGAATGTAGCTATGAGTACCAACATAATTCGGATTAGCTACGAATCCCAATTTAGTCCAACCAGTTACTTCTGATGCTTAATGTACAGAGTATCGTAACACACCTTACTAGAAGCGTTAGTAGGTGTATTTAGCGTAGCCAAGTTAGAGCCGGATACCCCTAACCTAACAATCACCAGGTCAGGGTCGTATGCCGTCGACGCATGGCTCAAGCGCCCTACTTGAAAAGGGCGTTTTGTTTTTCTCAATGGGTGGGTTACTGGAGGATCTGGTTTGTTCTGTTCGGTTCCCCCTTTTGAATATAATCTCATAGAAATAACCATTTATATATAACCATTTAAATCCCATTTGCAGCCATTTAGACTTGGAATTTCAGCACTGCTACAGCTTTTCAGATTCCTGTCATCGGATGAAAGGACTACACAGATTATCAATTGGAGCTGCGATCCGAAAGAGAGATTGAGATCATGGAATGGTGCGGCAGGGCTAGGGTGGGGACAGTGAGAGGTTTTTTTTGTCCATACAATGTGAGGCCCCCCAGTGATGTTTGTTGGTTTAGATTCGCCCCAGTAACTAGTTCGTTATTTGCCTACCATAAACCATAGTTATTGGAGTTATGAGCACCAACTTAGATATCTTGGGGGCCTCACATTGTAGGTTTCCCCCAAGGGAAAATCGGCCGGTTTCACTGGGAAAAGAAAGGGGATTTCCATGGGATTATTTCACTGATAAAAATGATAGCTTGCTGAAAAAACTGGTTAATGTGGGTTGATTAGGGGGATATAACTACAACTAACTTTAGTTCATGGGGTTGTAAACCAACTTATAACTTGGAGGACCCACCTTGTATGGCACCTGTCTGGTGCTTATGGAGCAGTGAGACGAGCGAGCTGGTATCCATATTCCCTATTTTTACATGGCTAGATGGAGCTAGAAATTAAGTTTCCCAACCACATTCTTATTTGAGAGAATATCATGGGGATATTTTATGATATATTATTATACGTGTGTATATATATATATATGTGTTATGTATACTATCAACTTGATACTATATTTGGATGTATGTGAAAATGGTGTATGAACTCCCAGATGGCAATTTTAGATGAGGAAGGAAGGTGAGGATTTTTCAGACCCAAATTGGCCATTTCTGACCTGGGATAGTTAGCCAAATTTAGAGATTGCAAAGGATATAACAGAATGTTCATTTGTTTATATCTATCCATGTATCTATGTGTCATGTCATTTGGGCTTCTGAATAGTTTCTAAATATGTAATGATGATGTGATATACTATAGGTACCCAACGGGAATCAAACGTGGCGATTCAAGCACACGTAACGTCGTGGTCATTGACCTTCTGATGTCAGCTGACTTTTCCTTCTACGTCCAGCAAAAAATACATCATTGTGCTTCGAGAGCTGACAAGCCACAAACAGAAAATGCGAAAGCTCGAGCTGTTGAAAGAGCGGAGTTAATTGCAATTTCTGCGTACATTCGGTGTCTCATACAACCAGGAGCAGCAGAATCTGCTCTAGGCTCATGCAGGTACGGATGATCCATATTCATTTGGGATTCGATCTTAAAGTTTCTAAGAAAACACCTAGATCTAGATGGGATGTATGCAAGACATTGCAAGACGGCTAAATTTCATAGAGCAATTGCCGAAGTGATTTGCGAACTGATCTGTTTGGTGGTTTGGAACATTTTTTTATTTTTGCATATCTTGGGAATAGTAACCCCAACTGACGAACTCCATCATTTTTCAGAGGGGTAGGGCTCAACCACCAACATGTGATGTTTTTCATGGAAATCTGGGGACCGACACAAAAAGCTGAAATCCGGAATGATGTGCCATGGTCTAACCTTGGCTGAAGTGCATAGGGTGGGAATAATAAATCCAGATTCATAAGTGGTTGGTGGTTTGGTTTCCACGAATGCATTATGACTTTCCAGAAACAGTTGGGAATGTCATCATCCCAACGGACTTTCACTCCATCATTTTTCGGGGTTGGTTGAAAGCACCAACCAGATTATTAACCGTCATTAACCATATAATCACCCTTAATAACCGTATATTAACAGTATATTAACAATCTTTTTTCAGAGGGGTAGGGCTCAACCACCAACCAGATAAGTGTACACCATGGTTTTGGATTCCCATCACGGGATGGATATCCACCAAAAACACCATGTTTTCACCATGGCCTTTTTGTGGATCCAGCTTGGTGTATCCCTGCGGATCGATAAAATCGATGAATCTGGGGGCTAAGCCATGATTACAGATTGCCACAATGTGAATTTCCCATGGAAATTCCCTTCAAAGCGAACATATACAGAAGTCTTCCAAGATTTTCCATGGAAAGTTCCTCGAAATCTGTCGGGGCAAAGTTGGGCCCATCCACTTGTCAATTACTCTCTCGAACTCCAACGTCTAGTCAGAAACCAACAGAATCCTATCAGAAGTCAAGTATCATGCCTGATTTTGGTGATTAAATGCACAATTTTAGTAAACATATCCAAATTGTCTAGTAGTTACAGCAAGTACCCATGTATTTGTTGGGTGTGTTGGGTGTCACAGTCAGTGTACGTGCTGGTCCCACAACCAGATATCCATTGTAATGACTGTATTCCTACTGGGATGACAAATGATATACAATTGATATTACCCTCCGGTAAACTTACAGTTTGCTATTGAACATGGCCCATAGAAATAGTTGATTTACCCATTTAAATTAATGGTGATTTTCCAGAGTGTTTTGTTAACGTTTACCAGAAGGGTACATGAGGTTACTACTAGTTGGATGATAGTAATACTATAGTTGCCAATGGGATGATATCCATCACTTAAGTTGATGCCAGATCGATATCACCTCATTTGTAATTAGCAAAATGTCATTCTCATAGTACTAGTAATTCTCATCCCTTTCTATTTTTCCGAAGATTTATCGATCACATAAGTTAGCGTACTTATATATATAGAGATTCAAATGAACTCAAACATGTCAAAAGGCCCAGTAATCTCCAAATTTGTTATAAAATTCTTATCTTGAATCAATTTGTCTTATTCAATGGTTTCTTATTTCTTAATTTTATTGATAGTCACCCACACTTCACCTTGGCCCGTTCAAAATTTTCGGCCAAAATCTCCTGTTCTTTGGGGCTCCCCCGGGCCCCAAGGGGTGGTAAATGATGACCTCAGATGAAAAACAACTTATAGGAGAGTGCCATATTTATAGCCGGCCATACTAAGAGGAAAACTTGCCATATTTAGATATAAAATCTTATATCCAGGATTGTTTAGTTGTTTACTTAACTACTGGTAAATATCCCAGTTATAGCCCATTGCCGGTTTAGCACCAGTAAGTTCTTGTAGATTTAGCTATGATTAATTAATGGGATGCCAGGATGACAAGCTCAAGTTTCCCAATGAAAATTGCTGGTCACCCCTCCAATGACCAAAAAAAACACCAACGAGATGTACCAGGATGAACAGCTTAAGTTTCCGTTTTTGCCGGTCAAACCCATCTAAAAACTTATTGTAAACTACCAAATTGTACCTCTTATAAGTCCTGCTAAGACTACAATTCGGACTAGAATTACTGATTGGTGGTTTGGAACATGTTTTTTTTCCCATTCAGTTGGGATTATGAAGAACTCATATTTTTCAGAGAGGTAGGTCAACCACCAACCAGATTAGGTACCAAATTGGACCTCTTAAGTCCCCCAGTCAGACCACAGGTACAAGGTCTTGATCCGCTTCACCATGGAACGCTACGACGTCTCCGTGGACCGCGAGCCCGCGAAGGTGAAGATGGGTTCTTTGTTTTCGGTCAAAAGGGATGACCAATTGGGACGACTCACCAGCAAAGAGTCATGGTGATTTACCTGGCAAAAATGGAGATGTTCATTGATTTTCATGTGAAACCATGGAGATAAACACCTGAGTATCTTAAGCTGAAACACTCTTTGTCCAGCTGAAAGATACACTTTCAGTGAGCCTTTGTCTACCCTTGGCTCCACGGTTGAAGGTGGATGATAATAGCTATTGCAAATGCCCAGTCGACATCTTTGATTAATGGTATTATATGGCATTAATAGCATGGTGATTTTCCACTTCGTTATTTTAAACGTTTACCAGAGGGTGAGGGTAGATAAGTGGGATCAGGGGCCAAGGGGCCTGTAGAGACACTGAATCCCAGAGGTCAAAACTGGCCGTGGTTTGAGTTTTGTTGGCTCAGTACAGTAGATAGATGGTGTGAAGCTGGCGATTTCGCAGCAATGGCAATGGCAAACGATGGATCACAAAAGGAAGATGTGTCAACAGGACAAGTTCCCTTGACACTCCAGGTCTCTTTGCCCAGTGGACGCAGTGAAACCGTCTCAGTCTTGCCGTGTGGCACCGTTGTTGACTTAAAGATAGCTGCACAACAGTCTTTTGGGCATCGTTTCCTGAGACTTGCTACAGGTGTGGGCCGTCTTTTGGATCCAAGAGAATCTCTTCAACTTTCTGGGCTTCAAGACGGAGACAGCATTGCTGCTGTTGCACAGCAGCCAAAGATAGCTGCAACTTGGTGCGCGTTTGCTTTGTGGTGTGATGGAGGAAATAGAATTGTGACATGGGGTGATACCCAACGTGGTGGTGACAGCTCCAGAGTCCAACATCAGCTCAGGAATGTCCAGCACATTTGTGGCACAGGCGGTGCTTTTGCCGCAATCTTGGCAGATGGAAGCGTGGTGACCTGGGGTGATCCAATCCAGGGTGGTGACAGCTCCGAAGTCCAACATCAGCTCCGGAATGTCCAACACATTTGTGGCACAGCCTTTGCTTTTGCTGCAATCTTGGCAGATGGAAGTGTGGTGACCTGGGGTGATCCAAACCATGGTGGTAACAGCTCCGAAGTCCAACATCAGCTCCGGAATGTACAGCACATTTGTGGCACAGGCCATGCTTTTGCCGCAATCTTGGCAGATGGAAGCGTCGTGACATGGGGCCATCAGGACAGTGGTGGTGACAGCTCCAGAGTCCAAGATCAGCTAAGGTATGTTCAGCAGATATCTGCCACAGGCCGTGCTTTTGCTGCAATCTTGGCAGATGGAACCGTGGTGACCTGGGGTGATCCAAACCATGGTGGTGACAGCTCCAGAGTCCAACATCAGCTCCGGAATGTCCAGCACATTTGTGGCACAGCCTCTGCTTTTGCTGCAATCTTGGCAGATGGAAGTGTGGTGACCTGGGGCAATCCAGCCTCTGGTGGTGACAGCTCCAGAGTCCAAAATCAGCTCAGGAATGTCCAGCAGATTTCTGCCACGGGGTTTGCTTTTGCTGCAATCTTGGAAGGTGGAAGCGTGGTGACCTGGGGCGTTCCAAACTATGGTGGTGACAGCTCCAGAGTCCAAAATCAGCTCAGGAATGTCCAGCAGATTTCTGCCACGAGTGGTGCTTTTGCAGCAATTTTGGCAGATGGAAGCGTAGTGACATGGGGCGCTCGAAACCGTGGTGGTGACAGCTCCAGGGTCCAAGATCAGTTCAGCCACATATAGACCCATGCCCAGGCGAAAATGAAAAATGCAGAGAAGGGACTGGTGTTGGTTTCAGGCCAGTTGGCGGGCCCTTACATCTCGATGCTGTTGCATCAGATTTGGAACTAACCAGCGGGCTGAATCTCATTCATAGTGACATCATCAAAGATCGTGTTTTTTTTTTCTAGCTTCCATGTGTCAATGTGACAATTGGTCTTTTATGGGCTGTTTTTTTGCTGCAAACAGACGCAAAATCTTAGTGGCAACGATATGCGATGGCACATTGAATCCATATGATGGCGACCGAGGATCGTCCCCAACTTTATCCCCATTGTCATACCATGAAAACCTGTTTGAATTGCGACCATTATGTGATAGTGATAGTGATTCACTTAGGTCTCAAGAACTTATATGATATATGGGGATTTTTCATGGGATTTATACATCGGCATCATCGGCTGCAAGGGAAAATGAGCTGGCCCCAATATTCAATATTCTCCACGCATATCCTGGCTACAGTCATCACTGAATTTGGTTAGAATGATCAGTCAGCATTTTAGGTAACATATTTTAGATATTTTTCCCCACCTGCCAGGTGAGGGTTGTTAGATTTTATCTAAGTTGCCTTCTCCTGCCTCCTCTCCTCCTCCTCTCGTCGTCCTCCTCTCGTTGTCCTCGTCGTCCTCGTTGTCCTCCTCGTCCTCCTGCTCAACTGCGACTCGCGATCCACAGTGTTCGCTGCCGGACCTCAACCACGACCATCCACGCCCAGTGTTCCCTGCCGGACCTCAGCCACGGCCATCCACGCCCAGTGGTCCCTGCCGGACCTCAACCACGGCCATCCACGCCCAGTGTTCCCTGCCGGACCTCAACCGCGAGTATCCATGCCAAGTGTTCCCTGCCGGACCTCAACCGCGAGTATCCACGCCAAGTGTTCCCTGCCGGACCTCATGTAGGAAGATATGGGACAAAGAATGTGCAGAAGAAAGTTAAAAAGAATGTCAGAAAGAATGTCAGAAGATATGCCAGAAGATATGCCAGATAGAATGCCAAATAGAATGCCAGATAGAATGCCAGATAGAATGCCAGAAGATATGTCAGAATATATGCCAGAAGATATGCCAGATAGAATGCCAGATAGTATGCCAGAAGATTTGCCAGATAGAATGCCAGATAGAATGCCAGAAGATTTGCCAGATAGAATGCCAGAAAATATGCCAGAAGATATGCCAGATAGATATGCCAGAAGATATGCCAGAAGATATGCCAGAAGATATGCCAGAAGATATGCCAGAAGATATGTCAGACAGAATGCCAGAAGATATGTCAGAATATATGCCAGAAGATATGCCAGATAGAATGCCAGATTGAATGCCAGAAGATATGTCAGATAGAATGCCAGAAGATATGCCAGATAGAATGCCAGAAGATTTGCCAGATAGAATGCCAGAAGATATGCCACAAGATATGCCAGATCATATGCCAGAAGATATGCCAGATAGAATGCCAAATAGAATGTCAGAAGATATGTCAGATAGAATGCCAGAAGATTTGCCAGTAAGAAAATGTATAAATGTCATGGTGGGGATCACACGAAGTAAAGTAATTAGATTACGTATCCATGATTATCCCAATTTATGACATTATATTCTAATATATTCTATTCCCTAAGAGCTATAAAGCCACAAAGTATCTCATTTGTGTGATATACCCAGCTCACAGATCAGATGATGGAGCCATGGATCAAATTTCATCGAGCGCAGGTCGTAGCGCAGGTCGAGGAGACTGAGACAGATGCGCCCGATAGGATGTGATGCGAGTTGTTGCATCACTGGCGCGTGTGGTGGTGACAGTGGATGAAGGTTTAGGTTTCTGTGAGATGAAGGCATGGCGGACATGTGACCTAGTGAGCTGTAGCTTAAATTGTAGTTTTAATCTGCATACATGGTTTGTATTTTTTGTGTAGCATACAATATCTAAATCTCTTCTGGAAGTTTTCGCACGCATTTTGATGCAGAAGTGCTTAAAAATCCTGAAAAGTGATAGGGGACATCGACAGATGCAGCGTTGATTTATCCAGGAGTCCAACCTTTGGGAATAGGATCATACTATCACTGGTTGGTAGTTTGGAAGATGTTTTATTTTTCCACATATTGGGAATAATCGTTATAAGTGACGAACTCATGTTTCAGAGGGGTAGGTATACATGGTATACCACCAACCAGATGATGTGGGTGTGTCTGAAGTATAGTATACTCCCCCCAGTGCCATGAAAAAAGGAAAATGCTATGACATTCGTGGATGAAGAGCATCATGGGTCTTCAAAATGGGCTGCCCGGCCTGGTAAACGGTGGATTTACCCAGCTATAAAAGGGTTATTTTCCATAGTTTTTTGTATGTTTACCAGAGGGTACCCTCTGGTAAATTAACATAGCTATGGAAAATCACAATTTTTTATGGGAAAATCCACTATAAATGGCCATTTTCAATAGCTATGTTAAATTACCAGAGGGTACTCCCCTCAGTCCAGTGATAAACCACCAAGAAAACCCTGTTTAAACTGTTTAAACGACCATTTTTCAGTAGTCATTTTTCGCCCATCCCTGGGTGCGTCATCTTTAACTCCAGGATGTTTACGGCAAAAGTGCTTCATTGTTTGTTTTGACCGTCAAAGGTTGGCAGCTGGTTGGTGGTATACCTACCAACCCCTCTGAAGAATGATGGAGTTAAAGTCAGTTGGGATGATGAAATTACTGAATGGAAAGTCATAAAATTCATATTCCAAACCACCAACCAGCCAAATACTTCCAGGGCTGTTCCCAAAAAGTCATTGACAATTTCTGCCACTCTTGAGAACCTGCTATTTGGCAGGTTCAAAGGGTTTCAATATGTCACCTCCCGCCGATATCCTCCCGTCAATTCAGTATGTTAATGAGTTTTTCGCAAATCGCATGATAGTATTTAAGGATGTGAAGATTTCCTAAAATGTGGGTACCCCCGGTTCTCATCCATTTTTGTTTGGGATTTTCATGGGATTTCCATGAAATAAACCATCCATAAATGGGGGATCCCCCCATTTATGGAAACCCCCATATGCTGTTGATGTCGCTTAAACCCAACACACCTTCGGATGACCATCCTTGCCTTGATGAGATGCACCGGAATATATTGGCATCCTCCACTGGTTGATCATAATTTCCCCCGAAGAACTTTGTTCCACAAAATATGCTTTCTAAATTCCAAATTATGCTATTTCACGTTTTTGAAACGAATATCCTGAGGTGTAAGTCTTGTAACAAGAATGGTTTCCGGCCCAGCAGGTTCTGTTTCCTTAGAACAGAACTGTGTTTGTGTTTTGCCTCATCCTCATCATCATCATCATCATCATCATCATTCGTAATCATATTCATATTGTTGGTCATATGCCCGAGACACACACCCACATTTAATGTGGCTGATATACAGATATATACAGTAAAGCCACTCAACATGATCATCTTGGAAGCACTGGCAGCCACGAAGCGATCATAAAGCATCACTCCGAGTTCAGGTTTTTCGACTTCCAGGGCGTCGCAGGGGTGAAGTTTCTTGGGAACACAAGAACCCCAGGAGACCATAGGGATTTCTTCGGGATTTCTCCATTAACATGGACCTCAACAAGATCACACATGATGAAAGCATGTTTTCCCCAAGAACATGTTGCGACGGATTTCCATGTTCCGTTTTGTCTTCTCCAAGAAGCTTGAAGATGGAACTAGCAACAAAGAGAGTTTTGCTGGTAAAACTGGACCTTTTGCCTGCTGCAAATCATGTTTAACCACAAAAATGTGATGTGCAATATTTCCCAAAACCATGTGTTTTGATCATATATGTTACTCTCCGGTTTTTTCACAGGTTGCAATGGAAAATACATGAACATCTCATCAGAGATGAAGGTTGTATGGGAAAATCATTGAACTAAATGGATCTACCATCTGGTTATGACTAACATAGCCATGGAAAATCACCATGTTTAATAGCTAAACCATCTATTTCAATGGGCCATCTATACCATGGCTATGTTAGTCATAACCAGAGGGTCAATGTGGTATTTCCAGCCGTGCTTTCCGCACCCGGACTATACACGTGGTGATCCCACCTAGGTGGATTAGGCTGGGAATAAAAATGTCAACCCCGGATTTTGCGAAAAACCATGGCTTTTGTTGATTAGAATAAAAAATGGGGGGTACTCCTCCAATAGTTTTATTATATGTCATAATCTAGTACTTAAATGGTACCCTCCCAATGAAACAGCCGTAAACGGGGTTTATGAATCCAGAATTGACATTACACACCATCACAATGAGACTTTCCCCATAGGATTTCCTACCAATCTTTCGGATTTTATTGATTGAAACTCACCAACCGACCCCGCGGAAGTGACCACCATCGGAGCAAAAAAGCTGGAGGGGACATGTGGTAAGTATCCATTGTTCAAGATGTTCAAGTAAATATACACTGGGCATTTATACAATGATATTTTAATGATATTTAACGTATATAATATATAATGGGAAATGAACAGTCATTATATTTAATTACCTGGTTGTATGTTGATAAGTTTAATACATATATATATATTAAATTAATGATGATCAAGTTAATGAAATATACATGTTGGTTTGATTATATGTTCATTATATGATGATCCAACAATTAGTTGGAGAACGGTTGGAACCCATCAAGGATGCCACTGAAATGAAGCCTATGAAGCTTTCAGCATGAGCGATTTCCAGTTGGTGACTTGAAACTGGCCTGCCATTAAGACATGATACAAAAAAATAAAACCACAAAGATTGGGGACTATATAATATGTATATATATAGCAAATTCATTGCAAATTCTGGGATCCACCGTGGCTGCCATAAAGCTACCATTTGGAGATGGCGTATACCACATTTATCTTATTCAGTCATGGTCATATTCCAGATGGCCCCTCTAGTTGACAGTGTCAGCCCGAGTGAGCTGAGCCAAAAAGACGGCTGTTGGAACTGCCCGGCTGTTGGTGGCTGTTGGTGGAGGTACCAGTTGATGTTTTGATGTTTTTCAGACCATGGTTGTTTCAAATGGCTAGCAAACAATTATAGGAATCCCCTTTAAATGTGGCCAGTGTTCAAAACCCCAAGTATGCAGAAAAACCGAGTGTTGGCTCGTGGTACCACTTGTGACAATCATGTTCTGTTTGTGTTTCATGACCCATATGCTCCATGGTGCTGGTATATTTACCTACATTTGGGTGATTTTGTTCGGGCAAATGTTGGTAAATATTCCGCACCATGGAGCATATGGGTGTTGATGTTCCCCAATATTCGCACCAAGTCACCTGGACTTGCCGAAGCCGAAGAGATAAATTTCCCGCGAAAAATCCGCGCCCGTTTTTCCACTGGGAAGATGTTCATTTCTGGCCCAACGAGGAGCAAATCCATGGTGAAACGGTGAAACCCTTGAAACACCGAGGCGCAGATCTGCGTGAGCGGATGCACCCATAGCAATGTGGGACCCATCGCTGGGAAGCCCTGCTGAAGCTGCAGGCTTTGGTCCTTAAATGTGGTGAAGATGGGAATCCAATGGCTTTGATAAAATCACTGCTTGGTGGTTTGGAACATTTTTTATGACTTTCCATTCAGTTGGGAATAATGATCCCCAATGACTTTCATATTTTTCAAGATGGTTAGAACCACCAACCAGATCAAATTGTATTTGGATAACCTTGGAAAATCAAATTGAAGAATCCAAAATTTTGAGAATTGAAGAATACACACATGTTGATCCAAAAGAATGGATACACAGTAAAATCCAGAGGTTAAGAAAAGCGAAATTTGCCTAGATTTTTTGACAGCTATATTATCAGTTGGGGAGTGCCCTGTTTGAATCCATTTGTGACAAACCTGATTGGGGAGTTTACAGTAGCATCCATCCAAGAGTGCGCGACAAACGACGGATCTAAGTTTCCAATATTCATCCAATCCCATATGCAACCCATGGTGCTGCAATATGAATCCCAACATTTACCCCATTTTTATGACCCAGTTTTGTAGGTTTTTATATACCAATATACATGAAGCATCTGGGAATGTGAAGAGTGAAGAGAACTACCCTCTGGTAATTTAACATAGCTATTGAAAATGACCATAGAAATAGTGGATTTTCCCATTGAACATGGTGATTTTCCATAGTTATGTAAACGTTTACCAGAGGGTATCTCCATGGTTTTCTTGAATCCCTGATGTTTGGCTGTGAATCGCATCCATGGGAAAAAAATCTGGTCATTCCAACCCGTTGCTACGCTATGTAATTAAATTTCAATGCTTCATCTCATTCTTAAGCTGGTTGGTGGTTTCAAACATGGTTATTCTATTTTCCATTTCATCTATTGGGAATATAATCATCCTAACCCCATTGACTTTCACTCCATATTTTTCATATATTGGGGTTGAAACATCAACCACCAACCTTTTTGAGGCTTGACATAGCAAATCTGGGATAGACCCTCCAGTGGTCGGTCACGACTTTTTCAAAGCTTTGGAAGACTTGGGAGACCTGGACGGTTGTCTTTTCCAGGTCAGAGGTGATTACAACATCGCGGGCTCCAACCACAACAAGCCGGCGTACAAGAAAGAGCAGAAGGCTCTTTGTGGAGAGGTTTCGAGAGGTTTCCCGGGAATCATAGAAGGCCCAAAAAAGGTGGCAATCAATGTCCCATAGGATCCATGGTGCTGCCATATATGTTAACATGGATCCCATCAATATACCCCCTTTATGTTAGCATATATACCAGCACCATCGATCCGTCATGGGTGTGGAAACTTTGTGACCAAGAATCATAGCTTTCCGGCAAGAACTTGGTAGTTGAACCAATGGATCTTTTGTGAGTAATCCCATCCCTTTTTGTGAAAAGCACCCCCTCAGAAAAGTCCAGAAACCTCGCTGTAATAGGGGATTTAGGCATATTACATCATATATTACATCATATTACAGTAACAGTAATATTGCAGATATTTAATATGTATGACCCAGTCAATGGGAATTTCAGGATCCTAAAATGGAGGTACGTAAACGTACCATTTTTCAGGCCATATTTTGTGGGGATATTCCCTTACATAGGCCAAAAAATATGGTAGGTACCTCCAATAAATCGGTTCCTAAAATTCCCATTGACTCATTGACCCAGGGGTTGTTTAATATTAGGGGGATGGGTTGGTAGCATTTGGTAGCTCAGAAACGACAAGCATTGACCATCGACCAGCCCTTGTTTCCCAGCTCGCCGTGAGGTGAGTGGTTTGGATGTGATGCTGCTTGGCCTCGGGATATGGTACTACTGGATGAGGTTTTCCACCCCCTTAACCTTTGCTTGGTTTTTTTGGGGGGGCAGGGAAATTGTAACTTACAATAAGTGGGTGGGGGGGGTGAGAAATTGTAAGTTACAATTTTCTGCCCCGCCTGGTCTAAGGGGTAGGGATGGGATATACCCTAAAATGGATGGTTTATAGTGGAAAATCCTCTTACCATGGATGATTTTTCGGGGTACCCCTCTTCGGAGGAAACCTCCGGATACTGGTATAGTTGGCACATTTACTTCGTCGATCACGTACCGAAAAAACATGGGGGGATTTTCAGGCAACGATTCATTGGCATTCATCGATACTACCCTCTGGATTTTAACAAGCTACTGAAAATGGCTAGAAATAGATGATTTTCCCATTAATACCTCCATTTATAGGGGATTTTCCATGGATATGTTAAATAACCAGAGGCTATGATTTTATAGTTGATTTACCGTACCTATTAAAAATAGCGATTTTCCATAGCTATGTCGTACACGTTTACCAGAGGGTATATGCAATGGATCATCATCGTTGAATGGCCCAAGGTGCGACCAATGTCACACGCAACCAATCAACTGTCCGGGACCAGCGAATCTGAACAACATGCCTTCCAAGGACACCGCTGTGGAAACTGAACACGTCAGATTCTAGTTGACATGTTGAAAGTTATGGGTTATCATATGTTTGCAATGTTATCATATATATATATATATACCTTGAAATTCATACTACCAAAATATTTTGGTCGTTTGTGTCGGTACTATTTTGTTTGGTCGGTTCTTCGAAAACCAGGCGTTTCACAAAAAACACATACGAACTTGATGAAAAGTAGGCGATATGCGAAGAAAATAGGCGATGCCTCTGGCCTTCCATTGGTTCTACCTTAAATCCAGGTCACTCCTGCTTGTTTACGTGGGTGCTATTTCTGACTCCTATACTGACTACTTTTTATCTCGATGCCCTTCAAAAACTACTACGGAACTAGCTACTATGTGTAAACACAAGCCAAAAAAAACAGTTTTCTGGATTTGCGGGAGTTTGCGGGTTTTTGTGGGCGTTTTGCGGATTTTTGCGGGATGTTTGCGGGGCGTTTTGGTCGTGTTGTTTTGTTTTTTGCAGATTCTGTGCAAAAGTGCTTTGCACAGAAAAAGTAGGCAGGGTTGCGGAGTCAGACCTGCATACCCAACTCCAATGCACTACTCTGGCAGCCTCAAAAAATCCTACTTACATGCGCGGGAGACGGGAGGAAAATATTATGAAACATTCAAAATTATCCAATTTCCATGGTTTTTGGGCGTTTCAGTTTTTGATGACGATCCCAAAAAACTAGGCGATTTCAACCATAATTGGTAAACAACCAAAAGGGTCAAAATATATTAGGCGTTTGAAGATCCAGGTATATATCATCTCGAAAAATCAGATATTTCATGTCGCAAAGATCATGGTTAATGATGTCAAACTGGGATGTCCATCATCCGTTACTCTTGAAAATTGCCATTGAGTTCGTAGATTTCCCCATCAATAGCATGGTGGATCTTTCCATATAAATCACCATTTTCCCATGGATGTCCCATCAATAGAATGGTGATTTTCCATCGTTTTTTGTACGTTTACCAGGCCGGGTACGCTCCACATCTCATAGAATTGGATGATGGGAAAATTTACAGGAAACCCCTATATTTGATGGTAAAAACCATGGTTTCCTGTAGATTTTCCCTTAAACCAATCCATTGACAGAGGGTACTCTCCACATCTCTCCATAGCTGACTGAGGCTCTATTACTGGGACGACCGCGACGGCGTGGCGTTCTGTGGCTGGTGGTTTGGCCCAAAGATCGGCGGCGACCAGGCGGAAGGGCCCGGGGGGGGAAACGTTGGTGGTTTTCGCAACGGAACATGCGGGTGA